TTTTTTTTTTTTTTTTTTTTTTTTAATTCTTTATTTTTGTAAGTGCAAAAGTAGGTACATTTGTCAAGGTGGCCACATAATATTACAGTAGTAGGCAAATAAAGACAATTCTGGTGACATATTTGTTATGTGTTGCACTTTGTTTTTGTGTGAGTGAGAAATTCACGATTCAACCAAAAATATTGAACAAAAGAAATCTACCAATAAGAGAACAAAACAGGCATTTTAAAGTGATGCCAGGACAGGAGTAGCTTAATAGGCAAAAAACATACCATATCATAGCTTTGTGCAACATCATATCATAGTGTGCGTGGATATAAAGGTCATGTGGGCTTGTTATGTCCCAACGGTGTTGTCCCGCTTGATACCTAATGGTTTTTGGAAATAAATGAGTGGGGGTAAGTGGGGGCTCTCTCTAAGCTCCTGCCAGACGTGTCAAAAGGGCGCTGTTCATGCGTGATTAGGCTAAGAGCCTTATAAAACCGGCGGATTTATGAAGTGCCGGCTGGGGTATTATTGTGGGTGCCACTATATGACCGCGTTCGAAGGTTTTCATGGGAAAGCATGGTAGTGGTTTGTTATATAATGTTGTCTGGAAGGTTATGTCTCGCTTAAGGTGGTGGGTCAGGAAGTTAAGCATAAATTTTAAGCGGCCTCTGCCTTGTTTAGGTACGTGTTGTAGATATGGGTGTCTATATAGGTGTGGTAAACCTTTAGTGTGAGTCAGCATCAAAAAAAAAAAAAAAAAAATAATAATAATTTGTACTTAGAGAAATAAAGAGCAGACAGTCTCGATTATTCTCGCTGTGGGTGAGTGTTCTCGTCTGTTGGGCAGTAGGCCAGGTTGTTGCCCTGTAAAAGAAAGGAGGGAAAGCGTCCCGATAGTGTTTGTTCTGTTTCAGGTTGTGGGAGCCGCACGCGGTCCTGTTGGGGGCTGTCGTGGCACAAAGATTGGTGCGTCAACTGCGCCCCTCCCTGGTCTGCTTGTCGTTCCAGCCGGTGGGTTAGCGGTGTCCGGTGCCATCAGTGGCAGCTGCATGTCTTCCAGTGTCCTTGTGGCCTCTTGTGTGTTCCTCACCACCAGAGGACCGCTTGCGCCCTCAATGTGTAGTGTGCGCCCTGGACCCCAGCGGTACCTGAGTTGTTTCTGCCTCAAGAAGGACGTAAGCTGTCTGAGGGATCTTCTCCAGTTCAGCGTTCCACTTGAGAGATCTGCATAAAACGACAGAGTCGTGTCCTCAAAAGTGTAGGTGGTTAGGCCCTTGGTGGCTTCTAGAACAGCCCTCTTGTCCCTCGCGCTTTGAAACCGGAGGATTATGTCCCCTGTAGCAGCTGGTGGTGCTGTAGGTGGCCGTGGTATGCGGAAGATGTCATCCAATATTATGGATTTGGCCACTTTTGGGGTTAAGAGCGCAGTCAGTAGCCGCCTAGCATAATGTGGGAGTTCGGCCTCAGGTACAGAGTCTGCAACCCCTCGCAGTTTGAGATTGTTTTGCCGTCGCTTATCCTCTTGTGTGGCCAGTTGCTGGTCATGTAGTGCAGCCAGTTGTTTGAGGTCGTGTACTGTTGCTTTCAGCTCCTCTATCTGGCTGGTGTGGCCGCTTGAGGTGCATTCCACGGTCCCGAGCCGCGCTGAGAGGCCTTTCAGATCCCCCCTTATTGTGGCCACTTCTGCAGATATTTTGCTGTGATGGGCGGCCATGAGTTCCCTGATGGCCTCCATGGTCACCGGCGTGGAGGCTAATGTAGGCACTCGAGGTCTGTCTGGCAGTAGTGGGGCGTTACTCGGCATGCAGCTCCCTGCTTCTTCATCAGACGTGCCATCCGAGAAATCGGAGCAGCCTCCGTGCAGGGACGCCATTGTTGCGCCGGCCGTCTCGTGGGCCTGCTTCCACATGTCCCCTATATTCATGCCCAGACGGGGCTTGTCTGGCTTTTGTTTTTTTGTTTTCCTGCCCATGAGGATCAGGTAAGGCGTGGGGCACTCCGGGGAGTGTTTGGGTCGTGGTCGGGTTCTGGTTGCGGTGATTATGCTCGATTAGAGTCGGGAGCTCAGCCGCCATGCGACCTTCCTCGTCCGTTGCTCACTATAATTATTTTTAGTTTATTAATAGGGTGCTAACATATTTCACAGCAATATTAATTTACATCATACACAAATAGTTTGAGGGCTTAGCTGTCAAAGACTAAATTACACTGAGAATCTTCATGGAACGAGTTTGCAATCTACAGAATGTTTATAGTTTACTTAGTTGCTAAAAGTGGCTGTGATTTAGCTGCTCCATTCACACTTGCTTATCTGAGGGGCAACTTCATACACAGCTCTAATCATTATTTATATATAGAGATATTATTAATAAATTGATAGGAAACACCAGAATGAGCATGATGAAGATGAACGCAATGTGCTTTATATAAATGGAGAGGAGTGATTGAGGATTTTGGAAAATACTAGTTTTTTTCCGCTATAAAGGGACACTATAGTGACCAGAACAACTACAACTTATTATAGTTCTAATGAGTAAAGTAAGTTTTATCCTGCAATCCATGAACCATCTTAGTAGCCCTTTTCTGAACCCTCTTTAAGGTATCAATATCCTTCTGAAGATACGGTCTCCAGTACTGTGTACAATACTCCAAGTGAGGTCTCACCAGTCTTCTGTACATTGCTCCATAGGAACGCCTTAAGTGGCCACTATTCAGTGAACCTCTTTGAGGTAATGCTAATTAACCAAGCCAGCATTTTGCTCCAGCTCCTTGACGTTCTCAGCCAATCCAATGCTTTTCCTATGGGAACGCATTGGATTGGCTGAGATCATCCATTCTGATTATATAGGCCAAGGAGGTGGATTAGGGGTGGGCCAGCACCGGGGCCAGCGTACCCCTGCACACTGGAAATAAGTTGAGTTTTATGATTTATTTTTTGTCAATCTCTTTTTATTGAAATTTTGGTTTTTATCACATCAATGCAGGATAGGTTACACAAATAAAGTAAAAGGAGTTGACAGGAGTGTGTGAAGTGCTTAGGGAGAACGGCCGTATGGAGCAAGAGATTATAAATCCTGGGTGCTGGAGCATATAATTGCGGGCAAGCAGGCTCTGTAATGTAAGAAAACAATTAAACTGGCATTAAATCAAACATTATCTAAATAAGATATTAATATTCGAGCTGCAAATGTGTAGTTGGGTTTCTGGTTGCGGAATCAGGCGGTCTGAGGATGTGGATGGAGCTGCCTGCCCGGGCTCCCAGTCGCATGTGCTGGATTATTGGTTGGCAGTCTGTTTGGGAACAGATAGGCCCAGAGCCTTAAAGAAGGTTGGTGATTTAGCAAGTGTAGATATTTTGTGTACAGTCCACTTGTGTGTGACCACCAGAAACCTGGGGGATCTCCAGTGGTATTCCACCCCCACTGCTCTCAGGTGGCGGGTGAAGGGATTCAGGGATCTTTGCCATTGTAGTGTGGATCTGGTGAGGTCCTGGTAGATAGAGAGACTTGCTCCTTCGAATGTTAGTGGCGTCTTGAATCGGAGGGCTGTCATCAGGAGTCTTTTGTCCTGTGAGGTAGAGCAACGCACGAACACATCTCGTAACATAGAAGAGGCTGCTCTGCCCGATGATGGAAGACGGTAGATCCCATCTATGGTGAATTTCTTAGCATGATTCGGTGGCAGTTTAGAGGCTACGAGATGCCTCACATAGTGAGGGAGCTCGTCAGGTATGATGGTGTCATGTATCCCTCTAAGATTGAAGTGATTGCGTCGTGTCCTGTCATCCAGAGCTATGTAGTGGAGTGAGAGAGCTTGTTGCTGGGCATGTAAGGCCAGTACAGAGTCCTGTAGGGATGACATTCCCTGCTTAATGTCTGATATGTCATCCTCCAAGGCCTTCACTCTATCAGTGACTGCTTGCATGTCCGCCTTAATGGCCGCCACGTCGGCTGCCAGGAGGCTCTTGATCTCTGTGACAAGGTTAAGAAAGTTCCACTGTGTAACTGAGGCTGACCTATCTGAGGCCAGCTCATTTGTTTGTACCTGCTCTGGAGGTACTCAGGCTGTATGGGGTCTGCTGGTACCTTTGTGGGTTCGCGGTCAGCCACTCCCGCCATTTTAGGAGCTGGTTATCGCTGCAACAGAGCCCCTATGTCCCTGAACCCCAAAGGTGATTCTGGAAGTGGCTTTTGGGACCATCGGCTCATCGATGCTGGGTCAGGTAAGTAAGCGGCAGGGTAGTCTTCTGCATACGGTCCCAAGGAGAATCAAATCTGCTCAGCAGTGCCGGCCAATCTAGGCTTGCACTTGGGCCCCAGGCCTGCATTTCTGCCATTTCACCTTAGTGGGGTATACAAACATCATAAGGTACTCCTTTGATGTGCACTGCTTGTATCACTGGCCAAGAGTAGGGTGTTTGAGGGTTTTAAACCTCTAAAATCAGGCTTTTAAGCAGCTCTTGGTGTGGAGCGATGCATAATGGCGTCTGCTCCAGCTCATGGTTATGCTCCATCCCCCCCAGAGTTTATTATTTTTTAAGGGGGGCAAGTCACCTAGATGGTGGTTTTAACACAATAGGGTCAGGAATACACGTTTGTGTTCCTGACCTTATAGTGTTCCTTTATATAAAATGTTAATGTTTCAGTCTACAAAAAGAGACTTTTTGCAACATTAAAATTTTGTTTAACCCCTTAAGGACCAAAATTCTGGAATAAAAGGGAATCATGACATGTCACACAAGCCATGTGTCCTTAAGGGGTTAAAGCTGAATAAAAGCTATGACTATTTTCCACAAATCCTCAATTCCGCCTCTGATTGGATATTATACTACTGTGGCTGGAGTTTCTTGCACCAGGGGATGTAAAGTATGTATTAAGAATTGGAGTTCTCCGTCCTGTGTGCGTGTGCGCGCGCCTCGGCACTCTCCCTTAAAGTTTTTTAGCCTCTGTGCTACCAGCGTATGCAATATACAGATAAGAAATAGGAAGGTGCACTCCCAGGTATTTGATGGTTATTTTTATTTCAAGGTTGTCCCAACATTTTGACCCCTGAGGGTCTTTTTCAAGGTCCATGGACCTTGAAAAAGACCCTTAGGGGTTGAAACGTTGGGACAACCTTGAAATAACCATCGAATAAATTTCACGTTTGAATGAAGACCTGTGAGTGCACCTTCCTATTTCTTATCTGTATATTGCATACGCTGGTAGCACCGAGGCTAAAAAACTTTAAGGGAGAGTGCCGATGCAGTTTTGAAATATAAATATATATATATATGTATGCAGTGGTGTATCCTGGTTTTGTGCTGCCCTAGGCAGGACAAAACTCGGGCGCGCCACACCCGCCCAACCTTTCCCCCCGCCCCGGCTTCTAAATACACACACATTCACTGACAGATACGCATACACTAGCTAACAGAAACACACACACACTAACAGACAAACACACTCACTAGCAGACACACACACTCACAGGCAAACACACTCACACTAACAGACACAGAGTCAGACACACACAGTCAGACACACACTAACAGACACTCACTCACTAGCAGACAGACACACACTCACAGGCAAACACACACTCACTAACAGACACACACTAGCAGACACACACTCACTGATACACACACACTCACAGGCAGTCACACTCACACTAACAGACACACACACACACACACAGTCAGAGACACACACACACTGTCAGACACACACACACACTAACAGACACACACTAACAGACACACACTCACTAGCAGACACACTCACTCACTAGCAGACACACACACTCAGACACACACACTAACAGACACACAGACACACACACTAACACACACAGTCAGACACACACACTAACAGACATACACACACTCTCACTCACATTAACACATTTTTTTTTAATTTAACCCCCCCAGCCTCCTTACCTTTGGGAATGCTGGGAGGGGGTGGGGGGGTTCCCTCTCCCCCTTGTGGTCCAGTGGCTGGCGGGTGGGCGGGCGGCTGGCGAGGGAGCACTTCCCCTGAGCGGTCTGCTCAGCTCCCTCGCGCGCGTTAAAGTGAGGCTGGGAGCCGGAATATGACTGGCTCCCAGCCTCACTCTGCGGCGCGCGAGGGAGCTGAGCAGACCGCTCAGGGGAAGTGCTCCCTCGCCAGCCGCCAGTCCGGCATGTCAGTTAGCCGCAAGGCTAACAAGGCATTTGCCCTGGGCATTTGGGGGCGGCGTTTTTTGCCGCCCCCTGAAAAATGCAGCCCAAGGCAAATGCCTTGTTTGCCTCGCGGCTAATACATCCCTGTATGTATGTATATACACGTGTGTGTGTGTGTGTGTGTGTATATATATATATATATATATATATATATATATAATATTAAAACTAAAGAATGGGTAAAAAAAAAAAAAACATTCAGGGTCCCTCCAGTCTCGGCTCTAGATAGTGCCCCCCCCCTCAATTCTTCTCTACAGAACTCCTTCATACGTCCTGTGACCACAGCAATGCTGGAGATACTGAAAAACTCAACTCTTTTGGTTGTTCTTTTGCTTTGTTACTTTTTTAATAGAGTATCATTAGGAGGCTGCAGGGTTCACTTTTTATATACTTTTCCGTTTATTTTTTTAAAATCCACAATACATAGGGGTGATCCTGCTCGGGAAGATAAGCATAGCACAACATAGTGCAACACTATAATAAAATATGAGCAATATAAGTTGATTCTATTGTAAAGTTGTAAGTTGTTTACAATTTGTAAATCAAAACAGAGCCTTTAGAATAGTGCAGATTTTGGGAATCTTCCCAGATTTTCAACTCAATTCCAGTTTGGACAATGTCAGAGAAATAACGTGCAGATAAAACAGGTGCGAAATATAGTGCAAAATACAATTAATTGTATTCACTTACACATTAGTTAGTAAAAGCAGTTCTTCACGTTTCATCCCGCCAGGGACTTCCTCAGGGACAATTCTGCAATATGTATAAGTGTAAGATGCATATAAATCTCCCTCCCTACCCCAGTCTCTTATAAACCCCTCTTAATTGATCCATGAATAACTCCATTGATTTCTGTCTTCTTTCCTGGCTGGGAATTGTACATCATTTTTGTACATTTTTTTTCAAATTGTCAGTTTCCTGTATTTAAATATACATCATAACAAACCAGCCTTTAAAGCTCATCTATCAAAATAGAATCCCCCACTCACTAAACAAAATGCAGAGCTGTATAGAGCTCCAAATATATAGGAAGCAGGGTATTGCGTACTGGTATAGTGGTATTTAATATTTAAATATTTAATAGAGTTAATATTTTATGTATAAAATTAATTTAGAATATTTCAACTGAGGAACTGTGGCATAAGGATAGGCAAAGCATGGCATGGATATAGCGTGTGAATCCCAGTATTTAAAATCCGAGAGGAGTGTTTTTATGTGACCTTTAAAAGATTTATAATTGTGCTGGAGATGTCAACAAAAGATGGGAACACAATTCCATATTTGGTGGGAGTGTTCATGCCTAGATAGGTATAAAGATAAAACATCATAAATTATTACAGATATAGTATCTCACAAAAGTAAGTACACCCCTCACATTTTTGTAAATATTTTATTATATCTTTTCATGTGACAACACTGAAGAAATGACACTCTGCTACAATGTAAAGTAGTAAGTGTATAGCCGGTACAACAGTGTCAATTAGCTGTCCCCTCAAAATAACTCAACACACAGCCATTTAATGTCTAAACCGTTGGCAACAAAAGTGAGTACACCCCTAAGTGGAAATGTCCAAACTGGGCCCAAAGTGTCAATATTTTGTGTGGCCACTATTATTTTCCAGCATTGCCTTAACCCTCATGGGCATAGAGTTCACCAGAGCTTCACGGGTTGCCACTGGAGTCCTCTTCCACTCCTCCATGATGACATCACAGAGGTGGTGGATGTTAGAGACCTTGCACTCCCCCACCTTCCTTTTGAGAATGCCCCACAGATGCTTAATAGGGTTTAGGCCTGGAGACATGCTATGCCAGTTCATCACCTTTACCTTCAGCTTATTTATCAAGGCAGTGGTCGTCTTTGAGGTGTGTTTGGGGTCATTATCATTTTGGAATACTTCCCTGTGGCCCAGTCTCCGAAGGGAGGGGATCATGCTCAGCTTCAATATGTCGCAGTACATGTTGGCATTCATGGTTCCCTCAATGAACAGTAGCCCCCCAGTGCCAGCAGCACTCATACAGGCCCAGACAATGACACTCCCACCACCATGCTTGACACAGGTACTCCCACCTGGTTGACACCACACACGCTTGACACCATCTGAACCAAATAAGTTTATCTTGGTCTCAACGGACCACAGGACATGGTTCCAGTAATCCATGTCCTTAGTCTGCTTGTCTTAAGTAAACTGTTTGCAGGCTTTCTTGTGCATCATCTTTAGAAGAGGCTTCCTTCTGGGACGACACCATGCAGACCAATTTGATGCAGTGTGCGGCGTATGGTCTGAGCACTGACAGGCTGACCCCCCCACCACTTCAACCTCTGCAGCAATGCTGGCAGCACTCACATGTCTATTTCCCAAAGAAATAGACGCAATCTTGATATGACGCTAAGCACGTGCACTCAACTTCTTTGGTCAACCATGCGAGGCCTGTTCTGAGTGGAACCTGTCCTGTGAAACCGCTGTATGGTCTTGCCCACTGTGCTGCAGCTCAGTTTCAGGATCTTGGCAATCTTCTTATAGCCTAGGCCATCTTTATGTAGAGCAACAATACTTTTTTTCAGATCCTCAGAGAGTTTGTTGCCATGTTGAACTTCCAGTGACCAGTATGAGAGAGTGTGCAAGCGATAATACCAAATTTTTTTTTTTTTTTTTTTATAATTCTTTATTTTTGTTGCGCAGATGAGTACAAAAACAGTGACAAACGCCACAACGGCGTACGCGTATATATAAACAGGCTCAACAGTGGCATAGATAATTGCGCTTTTTTTTGTTTTGGAGTGCAGGCTTAACAAAAAATAATAATCTGATACAGCTAGAGGTCAAGTGTCATAAAATCTGATTGAGATGTAGGCATCAGATATTAAAATTAAGGTAACAGTGGAACCAGTATTCTTGTCGTAAGTTGGGCGGTCATCCTTAACAGAGACATTCCTATCTTTGGTAAAATAAGACGTATGATACTATCATGCATGGCTAGTTTAAAGTCGTTTACGTAGAGGCAAAAACTGGCATAACATACGTGTATGATACCGGTATCACTGAATAGGCAGCGGTAAATTACCTCTATCTCATTTTTTATTCTTTATAAATGCTTAGTAAACCGTAGGGTAACAATAGTTGGACAATTTTGAGCATTCCGTAACGTGGTTGTGTTAACGACAAGCTTGATGTGTTGCATCAGTTAAATAGTGTGCTTATTATGTGAGGCTGACTCATATGCGTCCTAGTAGTATTCGTGTGTGGTCAGGGGCAGATGGAGTGGGTTACGATGTATTGCACATCTGACTATTGCAGACCTATTGTCAGTTTGGCATGTATGTGAAATCTTAGGTGTGCGGTGTAGCTTGCAACGCCTTTCTTGTCTAGGACAGTAGTGGAACTCCGGAGGCGGGTGAGTATTAAAAATATGTGTCATGGCTGCCTTGTTATGCCATCATGTGTGACAAGTGGAACATAGTGCAAAATGAACGTCACATTACCGGAGGAGTCAAACAGAGTGGAGAACAAAACATTTGAAAATTAAACATATCCCTACAAGGTAGGGCTGAGCGTAGGACTGTCCTCAGGGTGTAGTTGCGACATATGAGTCCGGCAGGGCACCCCGTGGGATGAACGGGGTGATCTTTGCTGGATTCCAAGCGTGTGGGGGACCGGGATCGGTGGCGGGTCCTTTAATGCTCAGACTGTCTTGGGGGAGGCCCAGGGCTTGTAATAGTGGTGGTGCTTCGTGGATGTCTTGGAGCAGATGCGTGGAATCTCCGTGCGTTACCATGAGCGTGCGAGACATACGCCAACGGTAGCGTATATTCTTTTGTTGGAGTAGGGCCGTGAGAGGCCTGAAGGATCTCCGCCAAGCCAGGGTGCTGGTTGAGAGGTCCTGGTAGAAGGCCAGTGACATGCCTTCCATTTGGTAT